TGGTGTCATCAGCAAACTTGCTGAGGGTACATTCTAACTCTTCATCCAGGTCGTTGATGAAGAAGTTGAACAAGGGGAAGGAAACAACAAGTTGAACAAGGGAAGGAAAGCTCATGGTCAGAGCATACCTCTTTGTATTGTCACACACTAAGGAGCCCTGCTCTTGGCTCAGGTCTCCAGGGTGGTAAATCCTCAATAGTCATAGGGAAAAAATCCTTTTTTTTTTTTTTGTCCTAAGGTGCTTCCAGGAACAGGTATGAGGAAAGGATAGAGTAGATTTAGTCAGCCTTTGTCCTAGCCCACCTACATCATTGTCGTGTGTCTGGTTTTTTTTTAATAAGCAACACAGCACAAGGTACGTTTTTAAGAAGTAATTTGAAGGAAAGCAGTGATCCTTCAGAAGTCTGTGGGAAGTTTGAGTGGCACTGTGGGGCTGAGAGCCATGGGCTGGAAGATGGGGCTTGGCTACATAGATGGTGGAGGGACCTCTCCATGGCTATGATGTTTCGGGGGGGAGTGAAGAAGCTGGCTGTGTGTGAAGTGCTGGAGGGCATACAGCAGTGGTGGTGGAGGACCTGGTACTTAGAGAAATGATCTTTGCAGTGGTGTTTTATATTGACGTGTGGGACAGTGTTGCTTTCTGCAAGGACAAAGACAAGGCTGTTGCAGCAGCAGTCATTGGGTGCATCCATACATTACTGTGAGGACAGTGAGAAGCCCATAAGTCAGTGACCCTGCACAGAAAGGTCTGATAAATTCACCTCCAGCCCAGACACAGGCTCCTACAGCCAGATGTAGGGTGATGCCCGGAATAGTGCAGGTCAATGCTAACCAAGATCCATCTCCACGTCTGCAGAAACTGGGAGGAGCATTAGTAACATAGGCTGCATCTAGAGACTTGGAGGGTTTTTAGTGTTTGATTTCGTTAAGTTAGAGCTGACAGCTAAGCTCCTGGAAGGAGATGCTATGTGCTGTGGGGGTAGTTGTGCTTAGACCAGGGGGGAGCAATAAGATGTGGTAGGACTGAGCTCTTTGTTTTTCTGAAAGTCATAGAAATGCCATGTCCCACATTGCCACCATTGTTCTCATTCTGGGGCCTCTCCCACCCCTCAGAGAAAAAGACCTGATTTCGTAAAGAGGCACTTGCACACTTGCTCCCATCTGAGTGGTTCCATGTACAAATGCCACTGGAGATGGCAGTGGCCATGGACTGTACTGACAAGGATGTCACTCCTGCTCTTGTGTTTTCAGAGTACGGATCTGACGAGCACAGTTGGCTACGACAGCATCATTCAACATCTGAATGATGGCAGGAAGAACTGCAAAGAGTTTGAAGACTTTTTGAAGGAAAGGTATGGAGCTGCCTCTGAAAACGGGTGAGGCTGAACCTGGGAAGTGAGGTCATGGCGCTACTTCTACTCCTTGTATTCCCAGTTTGGTTTCTGTCGTGTTTAACTGTCCACTACAGTAAAACACCTTTGATTTTTGACTGATGAGGAAATTGTTTTCTTACACTGTCCTTTCCTTGCACGGCTGGTGCTGTGGTATGAAGTCCGTACCCAGGAATCCTCAGCTGCGAGGCAGCGACGGCGCCTAGGGCTTGATGCTCACTTTTTGTATTGTGTGTTAAATCAAAGAGAGAGAAATCAGGAGCAGTTTAATAATTCAGTCTTACATGTTGCCAGACATCTGTACTGATGTGTTTGCAGCTGTTGGAGGCCTCCCCAGGCCACATGCTCTCCCGAAATTCACCTTGCAGAAGATCAGGTGAAGGCCTTGGCATAGCAGGGGCACAGCTTTGTCCTGAATTTGTCTTTGTACATTATGGACAGCCCACAGCTTTTACGTTAAAAAGAAGAAGTAGCATTAGGTATTACGTTTATTAATCAGAGGATATGACCTAAGTAGAGATTCTGTGGCTACAAAAGGGACAGCTGAGATGGTCTTGCCATGCGTTTTGACTTTATGTTTCATCTGGTCAGAAATGGCTAAATATGAAGAGCACCGTAGAGCAACCCTGAATAATGTAATTTTTGTATTTAGAACTGGAGAAAACAAACCTCTGAATGCAAGACTTGGTACAAAACAGCCTGGAACAAATATAATGGGGTGAAGAGGAGGAGAACCTGCAGTTAAAAGTGTCTAATGCACCTACATCTGTCTAGGCTGTAATCCCAGGTTCCAGGAAAATCTGGGCTTTCCAGCTGCCCAAGGAACCCATTGGCTGAACCCTGAGAACTGTGTCCCACTCATCTGTGATGACAGAAAGAGCGTAAAAAGCCTCCTCCACACCCTATGCCCCATTCCTCTTTGCTGTTGAAGGAGGTATAGGTTCCCACTGACGTGTCTAGCCAGGAGCAGATTAGAGGCTGGGCCTGAACTTGCTACTGGCAGCCCTCTCTGAACGTGGCCCAGTTCTCCATCTACAGCATGGCTGTTACATGGTCCCAGCCATGGAGAACATGCCTGTTGGATTTGGTGCTTTGTCTCAAAGCAAAGTTCATGGGAATATTTTTAGATACAGGAAAAAAAAAATCAATTTATAATCTTTATCTTTTCCATTTGCCTACAAGCTTTTAGAGTTTTTGAAGAGTTAAAGTTAGGTGAACCACACTGCCAAACTCTAGAAATCAACAACATAGGCATCTACATCTGCGTTAGAGATACAGGTATTTTAGGAACTATTTATTTTATCCTTCTAATGCAAGCCTCCAGCAGTACTTGTTTGTCTCCACTGACCGCAGACAGCTCGGGCCACTTGCCCAGGTGGAGACAGTGACATTTGACCAAGCAAGTCCTGCCCTGGTTATCTGTACAGATTTCAAAGCAACTGCAGAAAGCTGGTTGTTCTTAGACTGCAAACACATAAGCTTTCTTTCCTGCCCCCCACTCTTTCTTGCAAGGGGGGAGGGCAATACGATCCTCTTCCAAGAAGGGAGGACAATACAGTCTCTCAAAGGTGTTATTTATGTTACCTCACAAAATCTGGCCTCTTCCTCAGGTCTTCTTCCTAAGGACCAGAGGCGGGCAGGAGAGAGTCCCTACTGCCTCATTTTAAATGGCCCAGCTGAGCTTTGGGGTGCATGTACGGAGGCTGAGTGGTCTTTGGGATGCCTGCTCCCTTCTGTCACACATTTGGTTTAAATCAGCCAAATCAGATTCAAAAATACTTTGTGTGGAGGGACTGACGGATGCTGATGGCCGAGATGCAGAAAACGTGTGATCGCACAAGCCTTGTTCCCGTAGGAAACGGAGCTAATAACTACCCAGGTGACTCAGCTGCCTGCATCTGGCCACCAGATGCACTGGCTGCTTAGTCCTCCATCTCCTGCAGAAGTGGTCCTTGCACCCATCGGCCATGGGGAGGTGGGGAAAGCAATGCATCGTGTCCACAGGCACAGCCAAACAAAGTGTTTTCACTAGAAGGGCTGTTGGGTAACTGCAAACGACAGTCTTGCTTCAGCCAACTGTCCAGGGCAGGTCAGAAGATAGGGAGGCTGTTAAGAGCGGGTCTTGGCCTCTGCTGCAAGCAAGTATCAGTTTCTGAAACGAGAACTTCCTCTCATTTCTCTCTTTCTGCAACAGGGCAATTATAGAAGAAAAATATGGCAAAGAGCTCATTAACTTGTCAAAGAAGAAGCCCTGTGGGCAAACGGAGCTGAAGTAAGTTCAGTCCTGTGTGTGTTTTGCTTTTATTGGCATCCTTACTTGGAGCAATTAAGGAGGAGGAGAAGGAAGGAGGCTGTGAGAGACAAAACAGTGTTGAATCGTGATTGGGACGCTACCAGAAGATGATCTCAAATCAATCTTGCGACTGAACAGTGCACGGTTGGGTTGGCTTTTGCCAATAATTGAGTTAGACTCCACCAAGTTCCCACCAGCCGTAGACAAACCAAAGCATCGTAGACGCTCAGGCAAGATGTGGTCTGGTGGTTCCGCAGAGGGCTGAGGATCATGAGACCTTGGGTTGGCTCCTGACTGTTTTTGTGGCCAGAGGGAAGTACAGGTACTTCCCTGACTCAGGCCAAGCAAATCTTCAAAGCCCAGCGTGTTGCCACCCCGCAGGGGTGCTGTGGCCACTGCTGTTGGCTCTGTGAGTGGGTCTCCATTTCCCCAGTGACCCTTGGCACCTTGTGCTTCCTGCTTTGCTTCTGTACTTTATACATGCCCGGTCTGATATTCTCATATCATTTATTTACAGTTTTATATTGAGGTGTCATATAAAATGTTTCTGAAATCTTTATTGTACAATATTAATTGGGAGAAAAGTCCCCTACATTTCCAGCCACTGGCCAATGCACCACGTAGAAGGTGTTCCTGCGTCCCAAATGAGACTTTTAGGAGGGTGCCTGAAACATCTGTCATGAAAGTCAGGATTTTTAATAGCATCCAACTTTCAGAAAAATGTAAAGTAGATCTCAAACCACGTGAGCTACGTTACACTCGCTGAGAGAGAAAAAGCCAGAGGTGTAAAGAGGGGTAAATAAACCTGCTTTGAGCTGCTTTGGCTGGCATCAAGTGAGGGACTTGCTGTCTGGTTTCGGAGAGGTCCTCTGCTGATGCCTGTGCCTGGCTGTGCTTTCCCAGTCTGTTTAATGCTCTGCCTGTTTTTCAGCACGCTGAAGAGATCCCTGGATACTTTCAAGCAACGTAAGTAATTCCTCATGTTTGTCACGACACTTGGCAGCACCAAAGCCTGCAGGCAACTGCTTGGGAAGAAAATTGCAGAGAAAGCTCCAGAACAGGGTGATGCTGGGGTCAGGCATAGGCTGTCCTCCTGGCCCGGCTCATCCTAGCGCGTGGGGTTTAGGACCATGTGCTCCAGGGCTCTGGTGGGACAGGGACCCACAGGGCATCCTTTTGGGGATCTCTTGGGCTTTTGGGGCTGGCTGCAGCTCAGAGGTCATGCTTGCGTTGTACGTCAGGAGCTGTGCGTGGGAAGCTCAGCTGGAGTTTGTTGGACTGGCTCGCCTTGCCCTCTTCACACACATATGCAGTAATTCACACCTCAAATACTGTGTTCGGTTTTGGGCCCCTCACTACCAGAAGGACACTCAGGTGCTGGAGCGTATCCAGAGAAGGGCACCGAAGCTGGTAAAGGGTCTGGAGAACAAGTCCTATGAGGAGCGGCTGAGGGAGCTGGGGCTGTTCAGTCTGGAGAAGAGGAGGCTGAGGGGGTACCTTATCGCTCTCTACAGCTACCTGAAAGGAGGGTGTAGTGAGGCGGGTGTTGGTCCCTTCTCCCAGGTAACAAATCATAAGACAAGAGTCAATGGCCTCAGGTTGCATCAGGGGAGGTTTAGAGTGGATATAAGGAAAAATTTCTTCACTGAACGA